ATAGTGTGTGTGAGTAATTGATGACCAACTGTTCTGGTTGATTAAATATTGTAAAGAACAGTATGTTTTGTAGATACATGTATTCTATGAAGCTTCCAATTTGTGGAATACAGTCATTTTCCAAGTATGCTAAAACGTTTCTACTTTTAGGTATTTTAATTGGTGCTATAATTGGAAATGGGACCCCCTTCCCCTAAATATTGCTCATTTTAGTTAACGGTGACTATAGTACTTGCCAGTCACACTATGTGACGTAATGTCTGAGAAATGCAAGAATCTACATTTTCTCGATGATATAGGCGTCTATTTTTAGACAATATTTGCTATCAAAAGAAATGAGAGCCCACTCTCAATAGTGTATATTTACATTTGCTGTTTTTCTACCAAGCCGACTGTGAAATTGATTTGAAAGTCATTTTTGTGTATACTCACGCGTAGAAGTATACACGGTGAAACTCGCGCTAAGGTGACGTCACAATGAGGCTAAAGAGACGTTAATAAAAATGTATCGATATAGGGCAGCAAGAAATTCAAATATTGAGTATATAATTGGTGCTTTTAAACTTGTAAAATGTAAATATAAGGAATGTTTTTAAGTTTTGTGTGAGTTATTGGTGTGTAAATCACACAGACTTGCACGTAAGCATATTTTTCATGAAGCGCTAGCGCGCTTCATGAAATACGCCTACGTGACAAGTCTGTGTGATTTACACACCAATGACTCACACAAAACTTAAAAACATTCCTTAAATGAATTATTACATGTACACACGTTCTTATTGATGGCATATTGATGGAAAATGTAAGAAATAATCAGCATCTTAACCATGTCTGGTACTGTGCAATCTTAGATGCATCATCAGTGCAAGTTTTGTCACGATAGGGCTTATACATGTAGTTACATAAGAATGAGACCCGCTTCAAAATCTTTAACCTGCTCACTCATTAAAAAATGTAGGTCAGATCCAGCATCTGAAGCAGGTTTGGTAGTGTGCATCCAAAGAAGCATCATGAAGCAAGTCTGGTCAACAAGATTAGTGTTTATAGCTGCTCTGCTCCAAAAACTTAAACCTGCTTTAAAAACATTTACCTGGACATTCTTTAGCTGAAAAAGCAGCATCTGAGACCTGACCGGTGACAGGGAAACACACTAAATGAGGTGACTGTAATTAATATAGGGCATAGATATACTTGCAAAAAAATCTGCTTCAAAAACTTTTACCTTGAACATCGATGCCGACGGTAACTTGAAACTTGTGGCCGACGTGTAGTATTCCTTTTGTGGTCTTAGATTTTGTGAATTTATTCCTTGTTTTATGTGCATTTTCTGTTTGTAAATAATGCATTGACATGCATATTTGATGTTACTTTTCTCCTGGCTGGGATAAAGTGCGTAAAATTTGATAATTTCATCGCGACCGAGTAACACAGCAATGTAAGATATACGTCTACACAGGTGAGACCTCCACAGTGAAATACTTTGAACTGCTAGGAGGCCTGCGGCTTATATAAGGGTTGTAGGGATATCAAGAATGTATATGCATAAAAGATAGATAATTGATGGAAAATACACAAGCCTCAATAAAAAAAAAATAAAAATAGTCTTTGAAAAGGCTAGAATTTTAAGATATATATGTGGCACCAGGTGGATTCGAACCACAACTCTGAAAAAAGATATCCGCAGTCCTACTACTTTTTGGGGGTTACTTTTCAACTGTTATACCAATCGAGCTATTCTGCCATGAAAATAGATGGTACAAATATAAAACAGATTATCAAAAACAGGGTTCCTTATTTTCCTTATTTGCTGATTTAGCCACCTTCACCTTTGGGGGTTAATTTTAAAGTTACAAATAATAATTTTTAGGTTCAGATTACAAATTGAAAAAATTTAGACATATATACGGTAGAAAACAACTAATGAACATTGATTTTGAAATGTGACTTTTTCCGGGAAATTGATTTCTCCTAAAGGTCATTGCCTTTGAAATTGTAAATACATCCTTTCATCAAAATATCGGAGACATGCCGTTTCCAATCCCTTATGTAATTTTTTTGGTGCTTACAGAAAACGCATTTTAAATATTTTGGGGGACTCTCTAATCACTGCACATTTAAGAGTTCTAAACCCATGATCAATTTATGCAGTTAAAGCAATCTGCTCTTAGATCTCAAATAAAATAAATAGAAAGTTACCATGTGGTACTCTATTTCTAATCAATTCAAGCTTTCTTAAATTTTTCATTCTTCCAAGATAGATAGATTGATAGCATTAATTGTTTACATTTTCTGCATTCAGATATAAGCAAGAGAACTTTCTGCATGTATTCAATACTTCAATGTCTCTAATATTTTTCCTGTGAGTAAATGCCTAACTTGAAACTCAGTATGTACACAATAGTTACACTTTTATACGATATAATTTTCTCGATCGCGATGTCCAAAAGCATTTTTTCATTAGTGTACTGCAGACTCTGAGGGTTCTTAAAAAGCTTGGATTATAAACTCAAAGTGCACTTGAATTTTATGAAGTAAAACTATTGTTAAACGTTCATTTTCTTACTATTTCGTTTTATTATTTATATATCCATGGACAAGACTTTCATCAAGGCAATAGTATCGGTTTTGATTAAAAAATAAGCATAAACATCAATCCCATTGAATCGATAGTTGCAAATAATAAGAATATAAATATTACGACATATAACTGACATAAATTTAAGCCTAGGAATATTCTACACCACAAACCACGTGCAGAGACAATCTGTGATAAAGAAAGACAAACTGTGTCATTGTTATAAAAATCTTAACTCTTTTATGAGTTTTTTTTCCCCAAAACCGGACCCATGCAAGCTAACCTTTACTCTTTGGATTCCTGCCGACTCTCCGTGGAGTTTGATCTGTTCATATATTCAGTTTTGTTTACGAGTTAAAATGCGTTCATGACAATTTGTGAAATCTTGCTGAAGACGCACAATAGAACGAAAAATGCACCCAAACGAACTTCTTCAGCTTAGATTTAAATAGGAAGTTTGATCTCCTTTTAATTTCTTTACCAACCTGTCAACCATGAAATTTTCCAAAATGTCAGTTTAACAAGAGGCCCATGGGCCACATTGCTCACCTGAGCACACTGGCTAGGCAAAAGCACAAATCAGTTCAGTATTGAAAAGATTACTGGGGGAGGGGGGTAAATTTTTAACTACCTGATGATGCTTCCATGTCAATTTAACAAATGGCTTTGTTGTACTTGAGATTTTTTTTAAAAAAATTCCTATAAATTTCCCTTTGTAAAAATTTGATCCCCCATTGTGGCTCTTCCCTATCCCAGGCATCATGATTTGAACAAACTTGAATCTACACTACCTGAGGATGCTTCCATATCAATCTGACTAAACATAGCTTTTCTGTTCTTGAGAAGAAATTTTTTTCTATATGTTCTTATGTAAAACTTTCGATCCCCCATTGGGTCCCACCCTACCCCCGGCGGTCATCATTTGAACAAACTTGAATCTACCCTACCTGAAGATGCTTCCATATCAAAATGACTAATCATGGCTTTGCAGTTCTTCAGAAGAAGATATTTTCCTATATTTCTATTTAAGTCTTTGAACCTCCATTGTGGCCCCACCCTACCCCCGGAGGTCATGATTTGAACAAAATAGAAACTACACTACCTGAGGATGCTTCCACATAAATATGACCAATCAGGGTTTTGCTGTTCCTGAGAAGAAGATTTTAAAAAATTTTCCTATATATTTCTATGTAAAACTTTGATCCCCCATTGTGGCCCCACCCTACCCCCAGGGGTCATGATTTGACTAAATTTGAATCTACACTACCTGACGATGCTTCCATATAAATATGACCAATCAGGGCTTTGCTGTTCTTGAGAAGATTTTTAAAGATTTTTCCTATATATTTCTATGTAAAACTTTGATCTTCCATTGTGGTCCTGCCCTACCCCCGGGGGTCATGATTTGAACAAACTTGAATCTACACTACCTGAGGATGCTTCCATTAAAATATAACTCATCATGGCTTTGTTGTTCTTGAGAAGAAGATTTTTAAAGATTTTTCCTATATATTTCTATGTAAAGCTTTGATCTTCCATTGTGGCCCCGCCCTACCTCCGGGGGTCATGATTTGAGCAAACTTGAATTTACATTACCTGACGATGCTTCCATATGAATATAACTCATCATGGCTTTGCTGTTCTTGAGAAGAAGATTTTTAAAGATTTTTCCTATATATTTCTATGTAAAACTATGATCCTCTATTGTGGCCCTGCCCTTCCCCCGGGGGTCATGATTTGAACAAATTTTAATCTACACTAACTGAGGATGTCTCCACATGAGTTTCATCTTTCCTGGCCCTGTTGTTCTTGAAAATAAGATTTTTAAAAGATGCTATTAATTTTTCACTAATTCTTAATTATCTCCCCTTGAAAGAGGGTGTGGCCCTTCATTTGAACAAACTTGAATCCCCTTCACCCAAGGATGCTTTGTGGCAAGTTTGGTTGAAATTGGCCCGGTGGTTCTGGAGAAGAAGTCGAAAATGTGAAAAGTTTACAGACAGACGGACAGACAGGCGGACGGACAGACGGACTACAGACAAAATGTGATCAGAAAAGCTCACTTGAGCTTTCAGCTCAGGTGAGCTAAAAACTCAATACTAACTTAACGCTTAAAAATCAATACATCTTTTTAAAGTAATGTTTTGAACCCCTGTTTAATCTTAAGTTAGTTATTTTGGATTTTGCATCGTTATTTTTAATTTTTTGATAGAAGGGCATTTGCAGTAAATGTTAATGCAATATCTTTTATGATCCAAAGTACATGTAAATATACAAATAAAAATATCGGCATTGGTCTCGCGAGTTACACATGAAAGCATACGAAAAACATCCACTTCAAATTTAGCTACAGTACAGACTGTCTTAATACATTATATAAACAATTTCAATTTCTGTAATAAATCAATGCTTGATAAATACTTACATTGTCACATTTACAAAAACAAAAGAAGGTTCATTCGTTATTTTTTTCCTTCTCTTAATTCCCTCTTCCTCGAAATTGAAAGCAAAATTTCCTCAGCTTCAAAATAGAAAGTGACACAATTCGGGTTTTACCTGAAATAGAATTGCTGTTTGTTCTACATTGAGGTACCGTATATTGCTTAGAAGGCACATGCTATAATGATAACAAAAATTGTTTTGCATAGATATAAAAAGATAATCTAGTACGATTTATAGCATGTTCCTAAACTCATTTGTTAGCTTGCAAAGATTAAAATCGGCATTTGTTCAATTTGGTTAATTGAACTCTATAATTGCTTTGATACAGGTGCAAGACGTATAATAACTGTAAGCATGTGCTATCACACTATTCTTTTTGAATTCAGAACATTCAAGTAATACTTTAATTAAATCAGTACAATCGTGATAAAGAAATAGTTTCGCAATTACTAGTATCACACTATTCTTGCTACATGTGTAAGTCGTATCGAATGTAAATGATACTTGGTAAATAAGTGTTATCTGATTGATAGATACAAAAGCATCCCAATTAATTAATTTTTTGGAGACAAGAAAGAAATAGTCTACTCACTTGGAATGGCTGATAAGTTTAGGTAAGAACTGAATGTATCAAGTTCATTCTGCAAACATTGAAATAATGCCTAAACTTTCCTCTTTTCTGTAAAAAAAAGTTGTCAGTAATTTAATTTTTTTTCAAATCTCAAAGAACAGGAAACAGAAACTGAAACACGACCCACTTTAGATTAAAAAAACCCGAATTTAAAAATTCAGTCGAACATTTATGGCTCATAACTCGTCTCTGTAAACAGTCTCCATTATAAAACTAATTCAGATTCATCCAGTTCTTTGCGGATTTGATTAAAATTGGCTTTCTGGAGCATGTACTTACAAACACAGTGGTCCTGAAAAAAAAATTAATTTCTAGATATGTACAATTTAAATAACCTAAATTCATCGATGATTCTTTATCAGATTGTCAATCTAAGAAAGTTAAAGAGCGAACAATATGGGTATTCGACTGTGCAGTAAAAGTTAAAATACGTTTTAAACTGCATTCAGATTAAGACAATGTCTACATGTATATATTAAATCAAGAGAAGAAACGTACTTTAAAAGAAAAGTAAGAAAGGCCAAGCAAGAATATCTTTCGTTACATGGCGGACTTTAATGCCACTTTTCTCTATTTTTCCACAGAAGACATTTTGGATCCTTCCTCTGAATCGTCAGAAAAAAGCAAAGAGCAAGGTCGTTTAAAATCAATGCCCTTAGAAAACACATCCTCTAAGGGTAATCTTGGTCGACAAACTGAAAAAGGACCTACTGTTTATTATTCTGGAGAAAATTTGGGACCCGGAAATCAGACTGGTACAGAGCACAGCAAGGGTAATGATTTCAGACAAAATGCAACCTTCATCCAAACTGGCAACAAAACGGAGGAGGAGAGAAAAAAAGAAAAGACTTCTATGAGAGATCAATTCTCACATAATTCCGAGGATAATGCTAGTGTTTCTAAAATATTAGTGTCGAAATCGACCCGTTCATCAATTGTTGAAAACACCAAAGACGTTTATCTCCAATACAAAACACAGGAGGATGAAACGTTCTTTTTTGTTTGTGACATTCGTTGTATCCCTGAAGAATATCTAAGGAAACCCCACCCTAATTCAGACGGAGACGATATCTGGGCGGATCCTGAGTTTCCATTTCCACCAATAGATATTTTTTCCCAAGGGACCACCTGGGTTAGGTCTAAGGAATTGATAGAAAACCCTGTATTATTTCAAAAAGCTCTGTCTTGTGTTACAGTTTTTAAGGGATGCTTTGATACAGCAAAGTTTTTGGTAACTTTTTTAACTGTAATGGAAAACAACCTGTTATTTTCGAAGGTAATGTATTGTGAATACTCATATTTGAAAATATTTGTAAAATAAATTAAGAATGTTCATTTTATTTGGTATATGTCAAGATATTCGTGTTCTGAAAAAAAAAATAAAACAAAGCTCATGAATAAGAGCACTCAAATGTCATAAATCTTGCTGGATCAGGTTACTTAAACAAAAAGTAGGCCTAATTGGTGTTACGCTCGTACAAATCATGCAAGTCACTTGATATACTTACATGGGCTAACAATGATTTCCTTATAATGTTTGAATCCCATTGTGGTTCAAGCATAAGGATTTTAAAATGAATTAGTTTCTTTTCCCTTTACAGACCAGAAAATGATAACACCAACAGGAGAGTTTTTTCAAGTCTCCACGCTAAAACGATTTCTTTGGATGTGTTAATTTACTGCTGTCATTTTTGAAATGTTTTCCTACAATATTGTTGATGTTCGTATTATACAAATATGAAAAGAATTTAAGATTGAATTCGGATCCGAAATAACTCCGAATGTAACAAGAGATTTGAGGAAACTCCAGGTATTACCTCAAGCTTTACCCATATACACCGTGCATTGTACACATTTCAAGCATTGAATTTTAAATGTTTTGAACTTAATCAATTTGCAGTGGTTATCGGTATACTTACTGTTTGTCCATGAATTGAAATTTAATTCCGATGGCAGGAGTGAATCAAGTTTACGATGATCATTCACTCTGTTCACGGCTTTCCTTGCATTATGTAATGCTTGTTATCTCACAGCGCGTATGGAGAAAAAAAAGATTGTGCACGTTACAAGAGCCTTTCTATCTAATGATCTCAAAACTTGGACACAAGCTGTTTTAGGTATTTTACGCATGTGTTTAGTTATTTGTAGGTTACCAGGAGCAGATACAATGAAAAGATGAAACATTCCTGCATAACAACATACTTTTGAATAAATAATGCATTAAGATGCATATACACACTATGTATAATTATAAACATGATTTTCTCTCTCTCTCTCTCTCTCTCTCTCTCTCTCTCTCTCTCATATCGATATATATACACCTGTTCTTTCTTTTAAAGGTTTATAAGTCTCCTAGTAGTTCAGAAGAAAACAAGAGATTTTATGGTGTTGTTCACTTCCGGTTCTGGTATTTTGGTCAGTGGGTGGACGTCTACGTTGATGACAAAATACCTGTTCAGGAAGGGTGTTTAGTGATGACGTCTCATTCAGCTTCTTTCACAAACGACATTGGAATCACAATGGCTGAGAAAGCTTATGCAAAGTACGTTAAAGACACAATGAATGACTTAGTTAACTATTTGATAGGAAAAGAATGATATACACTGTACATGTACCAAGATGTATTTATTTGACATAAAATTGACAGTTCTTGCAAAAAATGCTCCTTTGATATATACCGTATTAAAAACAGACTTTGGTAACTTCATCGAGGTTTAGGTTTGTTTTCAGAGAGAGGACAGTTAAGAGGTTCATTTGGTTAATCAAAATTAATTATACTCATGTAGGTTCATAGGAAGCTATAAGAACATGGAGAAGATGGAATTTGATGACTTTTTTCATGGACTGACCGGAGGATATGCCGTGCAGTATAAATTTAGATTTCCTGTCCACGGATCACAGGTTTTCAGCAAAATCAGAGATGCCCTTGACAGTGGAGCATATATTTTTTGCTCTGTTAAGGTAGTATGTTGGACTGAATTTAGCTATCTTAATTTTTTTTTCATAAACATTAAACACAGAACCAATTCTTTGTGAAAGGCATATTACCTAGCTTCCAAAACTGAGACTTGAATCAGGAAAATAGAGGAAATTGAAATAGAGTAGTATCATCGGCGGTTTAAATGAGTCCAAGGAATATTTTGCATTTATAGACCTTGGCGGTCATCATAGTATCGTAAATATCCATGACAATTGCAAACTCATGATCAGCCCAATCCGCGAATGTAATGCTGAACTCATGTGACGTGAATTTAACAATTTTGCAAGGACTCGATTCATTCTTATATTGCATTAAATCTTCTTCCTAATATGCTGAGTAGTCAAGAAGATTTTAAAGTATTAAGTGGTATATTTAAATTGGTTCAGCTATTTCAGGAGAAAAGCTAAAATGTTCGAAATTAAGCACATTGCACGACGACAGACGGATCAGATACCAATAGTCATCAGGGTTAATTAATGGTCGATGTAATTTCTCCAAAAAGAGTTATTTGAATAATTTTTAAGTCTTAACATGAATGCATGTAAGAAGCAACATGATTGATTTTATGTAGACTATGGAGCACTTTGCCTACTTTTATTCTTTGTTTTATTATAGAGTATTAAATCGTACTTTTTTGGATTAGAGGAGAATAAGGAGTATTCCATTATCGGGACCTTAGAAGTATGTATATGCCAAATTTATCACTATGTGAAAGATTTATTCTGATACAAATTTAATATATTATTTAAAATGAACGATTACCGAATATAAGTTTACGCGTAGTTTTACAGTAAAACTTTGAAAAAATGAAAATCTGATCATATTTACAAGTAACAATATTTCAGAAGTTTCTTTTTTAAATATTATATTATTAAACGCTAGATTACGACTTACTTAAATGAACACGTCTGTCTAGTAAAACTGAGGAACATCTGGAGTGGTTTTGAATGGACGGGACCTTGGAGTCATGGGTAACTGCTTTAATTTATTTTGTGTAATTTCAGAATTACAAGTATATACAGAAAGAGCAGAATATTAACCTCATCTGTCTGTTATGAACATAGATTATAAAATGAAATATAATGCACACGTAAATTCAAATTGAAATTTTAAAACACTGAAACCCATTTTTAGCATTGCAATAGCTTTCATTTTCAGGAGTTCTGAATGGGCTAAATGTCCATTCGATGTATATAAGCGTTATGTTGCACACAGTGATGAGAAGTGTTTCTTCTACATGGATGTGAATGATTTTCTAGAGTACTTTGAAGGCTTCACCATTGGGAGTGTCATTCCAGATTTTAAATTCAATGGGCCAAGTAATATGGGTAAGCAAAAATATAACACTTTGATTGAACGTTAATGCGATAGACTTGGTTTTGAAAGGGATTAAACAGATGCCAGATGCCAATGACGAAAAAATGTTGCATTTTTTAGAATTTTAAGGAAATTGTATGAATTGATTTTATCCTCGATTGGGGTCTTAGAAATATTAGCACTTTCCTTTTATATTTGTCTATTTACATTGATTTTGTCATCAAATAGTAAAATTGTATTTGACCTTCAGATTACCACGTCAGTATCTACGGAGAATGGCGGGGACATACTGCAGCATCGTTCACAAATCACCTGAATAACCCCAAAATCCAGTTTACTGTCTCCAAAGAAGGTTTGTATTTCATATACATTTGTATTCAGTGTATTACTGAGTATCTTATAAGAAAACGCACTGATTAATAGTTTGAATTCAAATTTCTCTTCTGAAGCAGTTATTCAATATGTCGAGAGTTCCTCTCCATCTACCCTGATTCAAAACTTGATGTAAATAATACGATCATACCGTATCTTGATAGAAACATGTATAGCTCTAGCATTTCCCTTTCAGAAAACCTTGGGAAGCATTTATTTGACGTGGGTATCATTTTGACTCAGAAAATTATCAACAAGGAGAAACCATATGGAATTCATTGTAGTTTATTGAAGGTACAACTAAACTTTTAACTGTAGTTATTCCATAGAATTAAGGATTGAGAAAATTTAAAACGTATTTCTATATTCTCACTTTCGAAAGAAATCGTAAAATTCTGACTTCAGACAGATAAAAATTCTTAAAAATATACATTGTTGGGTCTAGCAAATGCTCTACCAAGCCCTTATTTTTACTTCTTTGGCACATTTTTTCAGCTCTTCCAAGTCTTTTTTTATTTTGGATTTCCAACGTTTCGGCTTGAGCATCACTGAAGAGACATAATTTGTCGAAATGCGCATCTGGTGCATCAACATTGGCACCGTATATAATTTACATTACAAAAATATTAACTATACTGTAAAGGAGGAACTTCAGACATACTGGCTACAATTATCTTAGAAGTGGTGTAAATCAGATGTGGATCCTCAAAAACTCGAAAGAACTTTTAGAAACTTTAAAATCACCAATTTTTTTCAAAAGTCTATAACATCAAAACTTACGACTTTTCTACACTTTATGCAACTATTCCTAACGATAAATTAAAATCTAGACTTTTTGATATCATAGACAACTGCTTCTTAAATAAAAACGGAACTCGGAAAATTTTCACATCTTGTGATTGGTCATCAGCAAAATTACTTCGTTAGAAACCACTTTTGTACTCTGATTGTACACACTATTACTCTGAGTTTGATATTAAAAGGATGCTGGAGTTCCTCAGTGACAACAATTATGAAGTCTTCGGAGACCAAATTTTCCAACAAACTGTTAGAATTCAGATGAGCACTAATTCCTTTGTCAGCTGACCTGTTTTTATATTCCTATGAGGCAGAATTTTTCAAAATTTTCTACACGAGAAGAGAAAAACGCTGGCTTTGGCCTTCAATTCGACATTCAGATATATCGAGATGTCTTATCGATTAAAAAGAGTTATTTTCATTCGTATGTCGACACTCTATATACATATCCCAGTTAACTTGAAATAAAAGACGCCACAGAGTCTGCCAAATCTGTGTCATATTTGGATGTTTTACTGACTATAGACGATAACGGCAAATTCACAAGTAAATTATATGACAAACGAGATGACTTAAGCTTTTCCATCGTCAGCTTTCCTTATGTATGCAGTAGTATTCCACTATCACCTGTTTATGGTGCTTATGTCTCCCAACTTATTCGCTACTCAAGAGGTTGTTCTGAGTACAATCAATTTTTAAGGCGAGGCAGGCTACTCACTGATAAGTTGATGTTACAGGGATTTCAACAGCCTCGTTTAAAGTAAGCATTTTGTAAATTTAATGGTCGTTATAATGACCTTATTAGCAAATGTATTAACCTATCATTGGGGTCGTGTTTTGGCTGACTTGTTTCATACCAATTGTAAGGCCTTTGTTTTTATACTGAATTTACTACGGAAAGTTCCGTCTACCTGATCAATACATAGGGCTCATGGCGGGTGTGACCGGTTAACAGGTGATGCTTACTCCTTCTAGGCACCCGATCCCATCTCTGGAATTTCCAGGAGTCCGTGTTTTATGCCCTTTTCACATATTTGAATTGCCTTCACCTTTTAAATTAGAGATATCAACTAGAAATAAAAGTGTTACAGACACACAGCTGAGGAACGACCAGTGGACAGACAGGCCCAATTTATATCCAGTACAATATTGTGGTCAATCTCGAAGATTTTGTAAACATACAAAAAAATAATTTATCATTTCAATTTTAAAGGAATATCTTTATCCAGTGATGGAAATTTATATAACATGAAACATTAAACATCGATGGAGTTACTTGAGTACATGCCAGGTAGCATGTGAAACAGATTATGGTGTCAATTCATGACTTTAATGCTTCGTTTTAATTTTAGGTTGTAGATACACCTACAGATGGTACATATATTGTAAAGTATATCGGTCAGAAAATGGAATACTATACACAAGAACAAGTCGCAATTCGACAGAATTTGTCGCACGGATTATATGTAATAGTGCCATCTACCGAAAAAAATGGTCAGGAACGACAATTTCTCATCAGAGTTTTCAGCGAGGAAGCTCTACATAATATTGGGTAGGTTAAATGAGTATGTGTCTTATCTTATCCATCCCCATATTTTATTTCTGTGCCCTATTATCTCTACCCATTAAAACTGCCACCTTCTATCTCCTTCCTTTTCTGATAAACGTTTTATGACCTGAAAATAGGCACATCATTTATATTTTATATACAATGTTTTATCTTTGCTAAAATGTATAATTATAGCAAGATTTATCTGAAATTCACAGACACATAATGAACATTTCTAGGTCGCTCCCTGAGAGCAGACGACTGGTGTTGTGTGGAGAAGAGGGGTTGTACCAGGAAGAAGATACATAATGTTCACAGTTTCACTGCCGATCTTTAGCGCCATTTGCCTCCTTTAATACAAAGAGAGCTGAAACATTTTTTTCTAAGACAATAATTTTATAATCACCTAATTAAACTGCAGAGCTACAAACAAGGAGCTTCCAGAGAGATTTTACTATACAAAGTGTTTATTTTCCTACAAAAAGTTAATAAGGTTAATCAGTCTAAGTATTAAGAATTGTTTTGAGTTGCAAGAACACATTGAAGAATGTCATGAAACACTCTATTAATATTAAATTTCTGTACTTATATAACATTGTATAAGGAAAACAATCCGTACATAATTGTAACAAATCATCTAACATGAATTAGATCAATGATTTATGTCATAGCTATCAATTCTGGGTATAGCAGCAGAGAACACACATGTTACTATCCATTGTATTAAAGTTCTTGATTTTTTTTTTTACTTATAAATTGCATATGGTCAGTAATATGACAGCTAAATTCAGGATATGATTTGAAGTTATGAAATAAATTTATCTCGTCATTGGTCATCTACTTACTTTGTCAAAACCCGATGTGCTATATATTCTAATTCTATTAACTAGTACTTTGAATTTTATATTAAAAAGATCCCTGAGTTCTTTATTGACAATATCTATATAGTCTTTGGAGACCAGGTTTTCCAACAATCTGTTGTAATTTCCACGGATACAAACATCTCCTTATTAGCAGACCCGTTTTTGTATTCTTATTCAACAACGTCTACATGAAAAGAAGTTCCTAGCCTCTTGCTGTGGCCTTCAGTTCGACATTTAGATATACTGATGGCGGTTTAGCAATTAACAATTCATAATAAGTTTATTCTATACATGCATATATTCCAGTGAACTCGAAATACTAGTAAACGACACTGTAGTCTGACACATCTCTTTCATATTTGGATATTTTACTAGAGAAAGACATTGATGGATAACTAACAACTTTATGATAGACTTGACTTCAATTTTTCTACCTTCTACTTCCCTAATTTGTGTAGCAATATACATGTAACAAAGACTCTGCATATAGGATTTATGTCATGCAGTCTCCCAGCTGATTCGATATTTAGGAGTATGTTTTTCGTACTGACAATTTTAAAACAATACAGGATATTGACAAACAAGTTCATTATGCAAAAGTATCTACAATCTCATTTAAAATCAACATTTTGCAAATTCTATGGTCTATATACTAGTAAATAATATTGTTTGCTATATAAGTAAAATCTGTCTTTAGGTCGAATGTTGACTGAATGATGTCTTTCATACAAATTGTTAGCCATTATTTTCATACAGAATTGACTTCGGATTTTCCGTTTACCTCATCATGACAAAGGGCACACGGTGGGTGTGACCGATTATAGGACCATAGAATGCGGTCGGGGGCACATTTTTCTGAGTATAGTACATGTATTTTGCTACAGTAAATTTTCATTTAGATCCTGGTTTCTTTCCCCCTTTTTGTTGCTGTAAGGTAAAGCACTGGCAAATTCCAGGATTTGGGCACTTCAAAGATTCGGGGGTATATAGTTTTTGCCCTGTCCGCCCGTCTGTCTGTCTGTTTGTTTGTCCGCAAAAACTTTAACATTGCCCATAACTTTTGATTGCTTGGAGCTATGGCTCTCATATTTAACATTTGTATTCCTTGTGACAAGACCTTTCTTTGGGTACCACCATATTTGACCTTTTGACCTTGACCTTGGAGTTTGACCCAGTTTTGCAAAATTTTACCCAACTTTAGCCTTGGCCATAACTTTCGAACAATTGGTGCTAGGGCTTTCATACTTCACATGTGTAATCCTTGTGACAAGACCTTCCTTTGGATACCAGCAACTTTGACCTTGACCTTGGAGTTTGACCTACTTTTAAAACTTTAACATTGGCCATAACTTTTGAACGGTTGGTGCTAAGGCATTCATACTTCACATATGTTATCCTTTTGACAAGACCTTCCTTTGGATACCAACAACTTTGACCCTTTGACCTTGACCTTGGAGTTTGACCTACTTTTGAAAAACTTTTAACCTTGGCCATAACTTGTGAACCGTTGGTACCAAGGCTTTCATACTTCACATATGTAATCCTTGTGTTAATACCTTCCTTTGGATACCAACAACTTTGACCCTTTGACCTTAGAGTTTGACCTGCTTTTGGAAAACTTTAACCTTGGCCATAACTTTTGAACGGTTGGTGCTAGGGCTTTCATACTTCACATATGTAATCCTTGTGACAAGACTTTTCTTTGGATACCAGCAACTTTGACCTTGACCTTGGAGTTTGACCTACTTTTAAAACTTTAACATTGGCCATAACTTTTGAACGGTTGGTGCTAAGGCTTTCATACTTCACATATGTTATCCTTTTGACAAGACCTTCCTTTGGATAACAACAACTTTGACCCTTTGACCTTGACCTTGGAGTTTGACCTACTTTTGAAAAACTTTTAACCTTGGCCATAACTTGTGAACCGTTGGTACCAGGGCTTTCATACTTCATATATGTAATCCTTGTGTTGATACCTTCCTTTGGATACCAACAACTTTGACCCTTTGACCTTGGAGTTTGACCTCCTTTTGGAAAACTTTAACCTTGGCCATAACTTTTGAACGGTTGGTGCTAGGGCTTTCATACTTCACATATGTAATCCTTGTGACAAGACTTTTCTTTGGATACCAACAATTGTAATCCATTGACCTTGAAGTTTGACCTACTTTTGAAAAACTTAAACCTTGGTCATAAAGTTTGAGCGATTGATGCTTCAGTTTTCATATTTCACCAGTATATTTCTTGTGAGAAGGCCTTTCCTTAGGCACCATTCATTTTGACCATTTGATCTTTATGAAAAACTTTTGAAAAACTTTAACCTTTTCCATATCTATTCAATGGTTGCTGCTAGATCTCTTATATTTCGCAGGTATATTCCTCAAGACAAGACCTTAGTTTGGGTACCAACATATTTGATTTGCATCTAAGAAAGTTTAACCTTTGCTTTAAGTTGCCATACGGAGGCATCAGTGTTTCACAAACACATCTTGTTGTTTTTTTTTTTTTTTTGCTTCTCAGATTTTTTTGGGAGGTCCCCCCCCCCCAACTTTTGAAACCGTTGATACGCGCCTGGATTGACAGGGAATGCTTACTCCTCCATGGCACCTGATCCCATCTCTGATGTTTTCAGAGGTCCTGTTTGCTCTACTTACAATTTGTACTGTTTTATTGGACTTTTGAGCATGGCTACTGTTTGCTATTTATATATTTCATCCTACTAAATTATAAGCCCTGGGTATTGAAGTTAGAATACAGTCTCTGTGACAGTTTTAAATTTTTTTTTACAATTTGAGAATCAGGTTAACAAGGTGGATAGTGAGAGGAAGTATTTCAATTAAGATCTTTTGACTTAGGAAAGGCCCAAAGACCTTGTCAGTCACCTAAGTATCATGAGTTTTGTTTTTTAACATACATTATATTATCATGTTTGCCATACTAATTAACAGAAATTTGATCCATCTACAATTTTGGTAGGGTACTAAGTGTTCATCAAAGCCATCAGTTTGCCAGCAAATTGTTCAGAAATAAAAAAAGTTTAGTGTGAAAATACAATGATTTTTAATAGTTGCTACCAGTCGGAGGCATGAAATGTTTTTTTCAGGTTAGCAATAACAAATGCAAAAGGTTTGCTGCAAATTGGGCACTCCAGAATTAGTGTAGGATTTTTACAGATGAAATAAGAAGGTAACAAACAGTATTCAAGTTCAAAGTCCATCAAAACAATACAAATCGGGAGCAGAGCAAACACTGACCTCTAAAAACATCAGAGGTGGGATCAGGTTCCATAGAGGAGTGAGCATCCCCTGCCAACTGATCACACCCGGCGTGTGCTCCTTGTCATGATCGGGAAATAACGGAAAAAATCCGTCGACATTTCAGTATGTAAATAATGGCCTAACAATTAGAATGAAAGACGTCAGTCAGCATATGACTTAATGATAGATTGTATTTGCTGACAAGGTCATTGTATCGACCATAGAACGTACGAAATGATGACTTTAAACGAGACTGTTGATATTTTTGTTTCATCAACTTGTTTGTCAATAACTTCCCTCATTTTAGAAATTGTTCATATGTAAAGTATGCTTTAAAATTTGCATATCGAATCAACTGAGAGACATACACCCATATTCAGATGATAAAGGTAACTATATATGAATAAGTAAGGGAAGTTGACAATTGAAAAGTTTAAGTCATTACGTTTATCATAAAGCTTTGTTGTTAGATTACCATTACTGTCTTCTTCTAGTACTTTTTCAAGTAAAATATCCAAATATGAAACAGATGTTTCAATACATGGCCAAAGTACATGTATCTTCTCCTTGGGGCTAAACTTTTAATACAGAAATCATAAATTTTGCATATAACTGCTTATTATAATTGTGCAAACAGTTCTTTACTTCTTGACATCTGGCATGTCAAGAGGTAAAGAAAAAGATTTCAAGTGTATGACGCATATTCAATATCTCACCAGCTTAACCCTTTTTTCTTGGCACCTAAAGCAAGGGCTATAAATTTCACAATATTGGTCAAAGGCTCATTGCTAAAAATGATCGTGCAGTCTGTTTCCCTGCTTTAAGTCTAGGGGTGATTAAGACTGTCTAAAATGTATTGCATTTTCATCACCATACCAATTCACCCCTTCCCTGGAGCCTGATTTCAGAACAAAGAGGTAAAAACTTTTAATTTTGGTGAAGAGATGTTTCCTGAATAAGATCATTGTCTACTTGAATTCAGGAAGTAAGGAAGAAAATTTTGGGATTTAGTCACAACTCCCAAGTCTAGGGAAGACCATAAAATTCACAAAATTTGATCTGAATACACAAATGATTAAAAAAATTAATTAAATATCTTCAACTAACCACTTCTTTCCATTAATTATCATAATTACATATACACAATGGCTGGAAATGCTGCATCAAAAAACTTAATGACCAATGGATGCCGAACAGGGGACCACAAAAAACATGAAAGGGTATCACCTGAGTGACTTGGGGATCTAACAGGCTATATTCACTTTCACATATTTGTGTTACGGCACATATTGGTACAATGGAAAGAAAGGCAAGTAAACAAAGGAAAAAGAATCATTCTAAATTATTTTATTTATTTATCAATCACCTTTTGTTTGAATTTAATTAACCAGTTTTGTTCATGTTTACTGAATTAAAATGTCTGTGCAATTAATTTGGTTTTCTCAAGTCAGTCAAGTGTACATGTGTTTATGTCTCATAATCATGATAATACTGCTTTATCAAAGTTTCACTGCATTATCAACTGTCATTTTCATAATACCGTTTTTTCAAAGTTCTATATTTCCTGAGCATGTACAATGCTTCCAACTCTTTTATCACAAACTCTCCTCTACCAATTAACATTTTGATTTCCTCCTCATCTGTTTTATCTTTGTTTTTTAGAAAAGCTGCTTTACACCTATCTCGGAAGTAAGGGTA